TCTGCAATACAGACTTATAACACAGCACTTGGAATTTCTATTAAACAATAGTTACTATACACTTACTTAAATATCCACACACTAATATTACTTATATGCACTGCTGTTTACTATGAACATTTATGGAGGAAGCCTCAGGAATTGTTGTTGTCTTTTATTTCAAAAGAAAGCAAAACGTGTGGGTTGGTAAAGCAGACGCAAGAGTCATAAAGATCCTACAACACCAAATTTAAGGGGACAGTTATTTATTGTATGTTAGTACTGATTTGGGCATATGAATGTTCAATCTCAGAAGTTGCTGTATTGAGCTTAGCTTCAATAAATGTCCATCTCATGTCTATGAATTTAATTTTTGTGGCTTAAATATGTAATTTGGCATTTGTCTCTATCAAATTTCATTTTATTAATTTCTACCCAATTTTCCAGTTTAGGGGATTCTCAAACAATCTTGCCCCAAACCAGCTGGGCTGACCAGTTTCACCAAATGCCATTCCCTTCAGTTGGTCAAGTCTAATGGGAAGATAATGATCAAACTGTATATATTTTAACCAACCTATTCTAGAACTAATATTGCAGTTGGCATTTAGCAACCAGCTGTGATGGAAACAACTGAGGGGCAAATGCAGCAGGTTTCTCAACAGGACAGAAGGGGCAGCTCTGTCTCATCTCTTCATGTACAGCTAGGAAGAAGAGCCAGATGACAATTGGGGTGGGAAGAGGTTTTGTGCAGCTAGTATTTCAGGAAGCCAAAACAATTTGTAATTTACAGGCAAGTTCACTCATAACTCAAACTTATATGTATTCATTATTCCAATGTAGTTAAAGTAGGAGCAGCTGAAATGTCAGTGAACTGTAATTCCTATCAGTCCCAACTAGCATATCCAGTAGTGAGGAATGTTGGGAAGTCCAAAAACATCTGAATGGCTATATTTTACCCATCTCTGAATTAAAGTTATAGGTCTGGGTCTATAAATAGAACTGACATAGAATAGACAGCTGTAGGAGGAGGGAAGACTATCAAGTATTTCTTTCTCCTTTCTGAAAATAATAAAAACAACAGTACAGTATTGTCTTTTTGTACTTCAGTTCTCATCTCAACCTCCTGCTACAGGCAAAAGGCAAAACAAAATTGTTTCAATCCGAGATAAACAACAAAAAGTTCCAGCTGCTGGAGAAAGAAACTATTTAGAATTAAAACTGAATTAGTTAAAGGGGAAATACAGTTTGGTTAATTGCTAGAGTTTAAAACCTTGTGTCAAAACCTTTTTCGATCTATCTCCCAATCCAATCTTCTTTTTCTCAATTTTACCTACTACAGCTGGCATAAAGAAGGGAATGTATGCCCACCCAGAGTGCACTCTTCAGACCTCCAGCAATAGTGCCAAATGTAGTATTCCAGCACTCCAAATGCAAAAAAACAAATGCTTTCAAGCAGATGGGATTTTTCAAGTACATTTCTATAAGCATTTTTATAATCTAATAATATGAGAGGAAAAATGACCCTGAAGTAGTGTAAACCTGAGTGGAATGCAGACATCTGTTCTGGTTTCCTGACTAGGGTCCTTCAACCCACTTTAAATATTTATAGTTTTTAACTAGATTAAAACATTATAAGAGGGGGTTTATTCTCAACAACCTGTAACTGGAATTGATGTGCCAGCTTTTTCCAGTGTTGTGTTAAAATGAGAATAAAGTTTTGCTGTACTGCCCCACCATTCACATCCTCAGTACAAAACAGATCCAGAAAGGAGGTGGGTAAAAGGGAAGAACAACTCCTGAAATAGTAAGGAAACAAGAGCAGAGTGTAGTTAATTTCTCAGGAAGTGAATGGCATAAAGAACCTCCTTTCCAAACTCCCTACAACATTTTGAGGCTGAGCAATTACTGAGTGGAACAAGCGCCTTTAACACCACCTGGTGCAATTTTCAGCATTTGGTCTTGCTCCCAAGTCTGTCATGGCTCATTTAGATAGCATAGTGCATTCTCTCTATAGGCTATTCTCAGGAACCCTAGCGTTCAAAACCTAATGAGATACAGAGATTTTTATCATGACGTATAATGTAAATGTTAGCCATTGAACTCATAGTTTAGTCTTTGAGGGCTGCATTGAACAGAAAGCTTTTTTAGATTTGCTGAGTATCAAAACAAGTGATCTGCTTCAATATGCACACTTAACTAATACCCAAACAAAAGTGAGTCCAAACTGATGAAAGGAGGTCCTTTTTACAAACAGTTTGCTTGGAATCACAATTCCCTGATGTGACCTTACTATTTACACTATGGCTAGAATTCAGTTAGATAATTATGAATGCAAAACCTAGTTATGCATTTGTGACTGGCTCACATTCACATTCTCTGTTTATTTCCTGCATTAAAGAATCTGTAGAGATTGTGAAAGTCCACCAATCTCCATTTAGCAAACAGCAGCTTATTGATAGGGGTCTGTTCTCATCAATCAGGAAGTGGCTGACCTATGTCCCCACTCTAACCCTCACCCTCCCACACATACTTGTGTGAGAAATCTATGGTGCAAGAAAGAATTTTAATCACCTTATGTTTAAGCGCTGTCACTTATGGTCTTTTTGAATGCTTAAGAACAATGGTGTCACTAGAGGGACACAGACAGGGTGACATCAAAATGACTGCAACCTCCAAAATCCCCCAATTTGTGTGGGACACATGGCATCACCTCCATGGACCTTTGCCCAGATCACAATCCCTGGTCAGTGAGGCTGTAAAACAGCTTTGGAGCTGTCACTACTAAAAGACTCAGCTACCACTGCCACCAACCCTCGCATCTGCCACTGCTGCCCTCGCATCTACCACTGCTCAGGCCTCCCATGGCCATCTTGATACCTATAAGTTGGAGGAGAGAAATGATGACACCACTGCCACCACAGCTGGAATATGAGCCAGAGAAGGAGAATGGTATCCTCAGTATTTGAGGAGGGGAGAACATCAACAGGAGCAGGGAAGTGAAGAGTGAGCACCCACTTGATTACTCGCAAGTAACCTGGCCACTCTGAGCATGCCGGAAGGGAATAGGTCCGTGGAGGTGACACCCTATTACCGTATTGAGGGACGTCAATCCTAGTATACTGATTTGACACCAACACTGCCTCGATGGGAAAATGGGTGTGGCAACTCTTTGGCACTTCTCCTCAAAGGAGTACTAAGAGAGCAAGCTGGTACTTATCCTAGGATGGAGTAAGGTCTTGCTTTTCACCACTCTACTTGCAGAAGGGGATGGTTCCTTTTTAAATATAAATGTTAATACTGTATCTCGACTGATCAAAAATTAACCACCCCCTTCTCTGAGGAGTGTGTCAAAAGACATTTTTGAATGCATGGGCAAGAAAACAGTGGTAGCAGCCAGGAGCAGCTGGGCTTCTGAGATGGCGCAGGCACGTTTCCTTCTCCACAGAATGATCTTTGACTTATCCATAGATGGTATACTTTTTGCTTCCAAACTTGCCCTCAGTGTATACATGAAGTCAATTTATACATGAATATACATGGCAATTCTTCATCATGGGCTTGTTGTGATTAAAATAACATTTTAAAACAATCGGGTAGGCTAGAGATTCTCACCACCACACCAAGGCCACTGTTTTCAATTCTGCCTATTTTAATCCTGTATCAACTTTTTGAGGCTGAGATTATAACATTTTTGGAGGACAAAGTACCATTAAATACAGTGAGCCTTGCTTCTGGGAAGTTGTGTACAAAACAACTTGCTGGACTCAATGCTATGAGTCAATTTCAGTGGTATAATTATTTCCCAAAAGTCACTAATAAGATAACAATAGGTTTTTACTGAGGAGAAGTTATTTTTTTAGAATAGCTAAGAAACAGTTAACTTTATAGACATTCAGTGGTATACAACACAGCATTCCTATATGTTTATATTTTACAGAGAAAATTTGGCAAAGCAGTTTGGCAGGCAAACATATTTGCTAGAGTACTGAATGCAAGAGATATCTCAAGTTGCTTGGAATCCTGCATTAAGAATTATTTTTGCCTTCCCACTCACAAACCAACTCTCTCAATTAGGCAAATATCTGTAGGCCAATACTTAAAAATAGAAAAAGAAAAGTATCTTTAAAAATCTCAGTGTCAGGTACCAGATTGTTGAATATAAAGCTTGGAATACAAAGCTGTGCACGATTCATCTCTGTTGTATACAAGTTGTCTATCTTATACAAACTTCTATCTTAATGTCTCTCCCCTTCCCACTCTCGAAGAAAAAAATAGGGAAAGGAAAAAAAGAGATGTTAGCAAGAAAGCTGAATATAAATAATGGCTCACCAAACCAAAATCACCGTTAGCCCTGCCAATAAAAATGTTCCTTCTCTTTAGGGATGGCTAAACTACTAAAAACACCTCTAATGATCTTGTTGGAATCACTAGCCAACATAGCTCTAAATAGATAACTGTGTTTCTGAAGGCTAAAAAAAAATGGAACTGCTTTGAAGTATACAGGAATTAATGGGCAATTTAAAATGGAAAATTCAACAGAGCCCTACATTCCCTCCTACTTACTTCTTCCCCAAATTCAAGCAGTAAGTGACTCCTCTGAATTAGAGTTTGTGTTGTAAATGCCTGATAATTAAAATTAAATCCATATCCTCAGGAAATCTTCAGATGGTGGGGGAAGGGAGACTACTATAAATATAGTACCATCAATTTATAAAAACATGCCTAATGTGTGGGATTCATGTGTAATGAGGCAGAAGTCAGACTGTGTTGTCGAAACTCACAGCAACCCAGAAGTCAGACTGCTATATAATTATACACAATATAATCTACCTAGCCAGAAATTGTTCTTAAAACTAGAGGAAACAAACAATGAATTTTTGCTAGAGTAACTCTTTCAGCAAAGATATAAACAGAAATTAACGGAAGACTTGTTTGGGGGGAATAATAAACAAAATTGAAAAAGTAATTCTATACAGTTAAACCTAAGAGATATGGTTATATTAAGAGAAACAAAAGCATACTTCATCTCTAGGACCTCCTCTAAATGTTTTCTCCTCTCAGCTCGTAAGTTGGTCAAATGTGTTTCCTTTTCAGCCAGAGACTGCTGGGTAGAGGACAGCTTTGCTTTCATGGATTCCAATTCCTGTTTTACTTTTTCCATAGCCATCATCAATTCTTCTACCTAAGTAATTCAAGAATAACAGAGAAAGGCAAGAGAAAATATGTAATTTTTAATATTTCTGCCATTGACTAGAATTACCTAACGAAGGATAAGAAACATGTAAGCACTCAATTTATCTATGCATTGAATATTTATATTCGAATCTTATCTTATTGTTTCAATATGACATTGTTGTTCACATTATTATGAAGAAGAGACAAGACACACCTTCATTAAACAGAATGTGAACCACTACTCTGTTTTTCATTTATGTGATCCCCAACTGGCAATGACTCTTATATTCCATCTGTATTAGAATGTAGCATTGTCTAAAGATTACATTATAAACATTTAATTATAGAGAAATATTCTTAATTTCAGTACCTAAGCAATACTGTAGTTACGTATCACAGGGCAGAATAACTCTTTAGTACATACACAGTAGCTGAAGTAGTCCATCTCCCTCAGAACTCACATGGACAGCTAAGTTACAAAATAACCTTTCCATAATGCTGCATCCCATTATTATATTTTGTATTCACTACACAAAGCAATGCAAAACCAAAAGACACATCATGTTCCAATCACAGCTATAAATAAATTACTATAAAATGTTTAATGTGGACATTCAGGCAAGGCAGATTACCTCATGAATATTTAAAACCTTACTGAAGAAACCTATGGCTTCTGTTTGCTCATGCACTGGGTTTCTTGGTTGGTCTGTTGATTTTCCTTTCTTGATTATGAAATTTAAGTATGAGCAGAAAACATTACAACTGTGTGCTGCCAACCCCCGGGAGTTTACCACAATTATACTTATGTCATTTTTTATGTAACTGTTGAGGTTGACCATTTGGGTCAAACAGTGTTTAGGGAGCTTTTGTTAATTCTGCACATTACCAATGTTAACTTGTGCACATTTTGTTAATAATTTTAGGTTCTGCAATCAGAATGGAACTTGACCACACCTTGCTTGTCTGTAATAAGACAGAGCTGTCTATGAAACATGCATACAGTTCTTTCTTCCTCTTAATGCACCCTGGGATGCAAGATGTCTTTGCACTAATTATTTTTAACACTCAAAAAATGAAGAGAGAAAATGACAGGTCTCTAAAGTGGAAAAAGCAGGACAATTATGCTTTACTTAACAAAATTAGAAACAGAAAAAATTGGAAATAACCAACATACATGGTTTTAATAATATCCTTAAGACTGTATCATTGTGAATGTTAAAGACAGAGCATATTTTCACTTGGAAAAGTGTGTTGTATTTGATATATTTGAGCTCAATTTAGTTTCATGAATGCATTTTGTATAATTTTTAAAATAAAGGTGAGCATCAATGTTATTTAAACAAAGGCAGACATGTCCCAAAATGGATAATCTAAGCAAAATGTTCTGCTTCTTCAGTACTACCACTTAAATAATATGAGCAAAGACTTAGTGACATCAGAATACACTGATGATCTTTTCCTTTTTTTGCCATCTCCCCTCATTCAGATTAATACTGAAGATTCAATTCAATCTTTATAAATGAAGTTCATCTACCTCCTCCCACTATTTTATCATAGGCATAGGATATTGATATATTTCCCTCAAAAGATGTAGGAACTCAGGCTCTTCATTTTCAGAAACAGAAGTTACTCTGAAAATTGCACCTTACACATTTTCTGTGGTTCCATAAATCCCTGCTGATTCTTTTATGAACATGTTATGAATATAAATTGGGCATTTAAAAAAATTCAGGTTAAGGCTCCTTAATTCTCCCAATGTACAGCATTTTGTAAGAAGCTGCATGTCAAGTACAACCAGATGGTCTACATAAAATCATAAACTATTAACTATTTACACAATTGCACAGAAGTAACCCATGATTTCACAGAAGACAGACTTTGTAAAGAAAGCATTAGGATGTGTTAAATGCTATCAGATATTAGAACCATTTCTCAACTACTTATGCATGATCACTTGTAACCAATGGACTCGTTTCACCAGGCAATGAACGTGATTCCTATTCTTCCTACAGTCTTGTGCTCCCATCATGCCTGCTCCAGGTTGTAGGGCCAGATGCTCTGGAGCAGCTTTCAGAAATGTACATGGAGCTGGAGTGGGGAAGAAACCTTCTGCTGCACAAGCAGCACACATTTTTCTAGTAAATGAATAAGGCTAATCTTCAAACCATGCAAAAGGACCATATAAAAACCAGTTTCCAATTCAGTTTATTTATTATAGAATTAAGCAGAGAAAGGTTTTTTTTTTAAAAAAAACATACCCACTTTTAGAATAAAATGATGCACAGAATTAGCTAAATAACTTTTACTATTACAAACCTAAAATTGCTATCAAGCTCCTAATAATAACTTACCAGTGCAGCTTGCAGGTGGGGGGACACCTGGGATTCTGTGGCATGGCTTAGTTCTGTCTTGACCCTTTGCAAGCCAGTTGGAAACAAAGAGGATTTTAAAAAACTTATGGGGGCTGGACATCTCCCAAAATGAGAATTCAAATTGACCATCAAGGCCAAGAACTACCTGAACATGTATTGTTCAGGTCCACCTGGTTCATTCATGGAGAGCAAAGAAAGAAAAACAGCCTCTAGAAATTCTTATGACTATAGCTGCTTGGAAATGTCTAAAAACGCTTCTTTTTGGTTTAAGGAAACATTTCTCTGCTTGTGTGCATGTATATGTGTGTTAAGAGTCAGTTACTTTGTCTTCCCCACCAGTTTTGTTTACCAAGTAAAGCTCGCAGAGTTTCTGCAATTTTCAAGATGACCTCTTAAATGAATTTTAACATTTTTCCTTTGGCCCACACCTTTACTTCTTCAAAGTCTAAATGTGACCTCTATTTGTTACGATCTCCCAATACTGATAAGTTGTTTCCAAATCCAAACTCACAGGATTATATACTAACTCTTAGCTTGAACTAACACCAAATGCTATGACAGGATCTGCAAGCATATTTCAAGCAGAGCAGAATATTAGCAGATAGGCATGAGAGCAACAATGAAAGGAGAAAAATATATCATTAGTAGCAAAAGTACACATAGAACAGTATTCTGTGTCACAAATGATGACATATGTGCATGGTATAGGATTCAACTGCTGTATCTAGAAATATCTGGACAAACATCACCAAGGTATACAAAAGATTTTTCTGAAATCAAAAACGCCTTTTATACCATTCTACACCCAGGAGCAGAAATTAAACATAGTGTGGCCAGATGAGGAAGTATGTGCAGTTTAGGGCCAATATAAGCATAGTTCATGGGAAAGTCCTATTACCATCAAACCAATACACAGATGAGATTAACATTCTAAGTTACAATGCATGCATTTACTCTGCTGAAAGTAACCACAAGGAACCAATGACATTATAATGGCAAATTATAGGTTCATTTGGCCAGTACCTGAAAAGGAAGAAAGGCAATCTTTATTTATGAGGTCATTGATGAAAGGAAAATGTATTAATTTAGAAAACTGCATTTCATAGACATTTTATTAAGAAGTTGGAAAGAAAAAAAGGAATTGTTTGCTTGATATTAAAATATGGCTGATTTTTTGTTCCACTCACAACTTAAAATGGAAATATTTAATAGTGTATGCTGCATTATCATTTCCCTTACAATTAAATAATTCAAGGATAAACTCAAATTACAGAACTTTTATGTGCAGAAAAATATACTTACAATACAGATTATAGAATAGATAATTAAAAAGATGTCTATGGGCACTTAGAGCTGAATATAACAATTACTAACAGTCAGGATGTGTTTCTCAAAAATCAAATAATACCCCACACCCACCGAAAAAATTGTGATAGGAGTGCCATAAGTCAGAAATGACCTTAAGAAACACACGAACAACATTGAAGCATGAAACCTTTCAGGTTTGTACACATAAAGGAAAGATGGCATAGCACTACATATGAAGAGATCTATGGGGTTTTACTAGAACATAACCTAAGCTTGGATCAACAGCATTGCTCAGGGGCAAAAAAAGCTAAAGCAGTTCTAGGCTACATAAAGAGAACTGTAGTGTCCCAATTAAGGGAAGTAAGTTTATTATTTCTGTTTTGGTCAGATTACATTTGATGTGCAGTATTCCATTCAAGGTTTGCACTTTAATATGGTTATTGACAAGCTGGAATGAGTATAGAAGAAAATGAAGAAGGTGGTAAAGAGACTGAAAAACCAAGCCTTCTGGGCAACAGTTAAAGGTGTTAACTTGGTTTAGCTTGAAGAATAAGACTATAGTATGTGATATGATTGCCATATTCAAAAATCCAAAAGACTGCCACATGGAAGATGCAGGAAACTTGTTTCTTGTTGCTCCAGAGAATAAGGTCTGAATCAATGGAGGTTGGAGATTACATCTCAACATCAAGAACTTCCTGAAAATAAAAGCTGTTTACAAGTGGAATAGATTATCTTGAAAGTTGGTCTACTTTCCCTCACTAGAGGTGTCTAGAAAGAGGCTGGATTGTCCATCTGTTAGGGATACTTTACCAATACTTTTGGCCTTGACAGAAGATTGGACTAGATCAGTGCTTCTCAACCTGTGGGTCCCCAGATGTTTTGGCCTTCAACTTCCAGAAATCCTAACAGCTGGTAAATTGGCTGGGATTTCTGGGAGTTGTAGGCCAAAGCATCTGGGGACCCAAAGGTTGAGAACTATTGAATTAGATGATGCTTAAAGTATCTTACAACTGTAAAACTGTATTATTCTGTGACTCTTCACAGTGGGACAGAAATACAATATGTGTAATACTTATTCTTGTGTGAACTAGGAAGGAGCTAAATTCCTTTCCTTGATGAAAGGAGGAAACCATTGTTCAAGTTTGCCTAAGTTGCCAGACCTGAAAAGAAGAAATAGCAGCTGTATTTTGTTAACGAGTGTTGGAAAAATGAAGGGAACCATGCAAATAACAAACAGAGCCTTGCTGGCATGAGAGAAGTATTCCTGAGAAGGAAAAGGAGCTGTTCTGTGGTTTTCTAATCCATGGGATATTTGAACCAGGCCATGGGAAAGAAAGGAACTAAGCAACTGAATGTCTGGCTTTTGCAAGGAACTGTATGCTGGCACCAAGTATTGTAACCAGTAAGAACTGTTTTCTATCTTTGCCTGTATCTGGATCACTGCTTGGATGAAGCTGGCCTGTGGCTAAATCAGCAGCTTCTTTTACTCTTAACACTGAAATGTTTATTTAAATTATAATCACTTCTCTATGTGAGGATATCATACTGACCTGAACTAGACATTATTAATTAACAAGAACTAATCAGATCTTTAAAGAATTTGGGTTTTGAAATGTGTGAACCAATAATATTCCAAGGGAGAATCCCTGCTCTAGAAAGTCAGCCGAACCTAGCCTAGAACCTTTCTCATGGTATTTAAGCTTCTTTTGCTAATTTTCAAAAGGAGAACTATCCAGGTCACGTGTTGGTCTTCCAGAGCAGTGTTTCTCAAACTGTGCTCTTCCAGGTGTTTTGGATTTAGGTCCCAGAAATCCCAGCCAACTTACCAGCTGTTAGGAATTGTGGGAGCTGAAGTCCAAAACACCTAGAGGAGAATGGTCTGAGAAACACTGTTCTAGAGGGAAGGTGAGCTCTGGGATTCCTGAAAGTAAAAAAAAGTCTTTCCATTCATGTTTAGGAGTCAGTGGATGCAGAAGAGTCCTCAGCTACTACCTTGTTTCATATCCTTAGGAAAGAGACTATATTGCTCTGTGAAGGAGCATATCCTTTGCATGCAGATGGACAAGGCTTCAGCTCTGGCATGTCCAGACAAAGATCAGATAGATGATGAAATCAAAGACATCTATGTGATATCCTAGGAAGTTCAGATAACGCCTCTTCAGTTTCTGAGAGAAGAGAGAAATGATCACCGGTATCTCATATTCGCCATCTTTAGCTGCTGTTATTTCTTTTGAAAATACTCTTATTTGCATTGAAAGGCTTGTTGAATGCTGATTAGAAAAAAATTCCAACTGATATGGACAAATTTTAATTGATAAGGTGAAGAGCTAAAGGAATATTTAAAGTCCATTCTGATGTACACAAGTGCAAAACAGTACCTACATCTAATACCCCATTAAAATCTTTGAAATGGGAAGGATACCCTTCCATTCACCTTGTCTCTATGGCTAATTAGCTTCTAGGACAGGACTGCACAATCTGTGGGACTCCAACTTGCCCTAGCCAGCTTACGCAATGGACAGGAATTCTGGTAGCTGAAGTCCAAAACACCTGGAGGGGTACAGGTTGTGCAGGTCCACTCTGGGGAATGTAGAGAGATACTCTGAGTGATAAAATGGTGTGCTTGCCTAGAAACAGACTAAAGCTTAAATCAGTAAAGTAAAGCAGTTCAAGATTTATTTTAGTTGTGTTTAGGTAGGTTGAGAGAGCATGGTATGACTGCAGGATTTTAATATTTACGCCCATTAAAATCCACTTCATCAGAATACTACATTTCTTCTGATTGTCATAAAACAGGGATGACACCAAAATACGCAACAAGGTTACTGCTCCAGGGTTACTTTACAAAACATAAAGCAGGAAAGAAAAAGGAGAGATATCAAGACAAATGGGACTTCTTCGTACCTTTAGCCATTTAGGGCTTAAGTGATTGGAGTCACACATTCTTTCATTTAACGGCTTCAACAGCCAAGAAGTAGAATTGTGGAAAACAGTAAATTGAAGAAAGAAGGGAAAGCATGCAATTAAAAACAAAAACAAAGTTTAAGAAGAATGAATGTGCGAAGAGCAATTTAAATCTAGGGCCAAAAACAAGTTTAATAAAAAAGTTTAAGGATTTGTTTATTGAAAAACAGAGAAAAACAGAGCTGCACATAACCACAATTTTCACCTTTTGGCCTTCATCAAAGGGGGGAGAGAGGAGAGAAAGTTTTGATACTTACTGTAAATGGTCATTCTAGCAATCTACTACCACTGTGTTTCCACATCATGCCTGCCAGCTGATCAGGGTAGGAGATCAAAGTGCTAAACCATTTTATCAATTAAGCCCTTCTCTCCCTCTTTCAATCTTGTTACAGAACCTTGTAAAGTGCACTAAAGCCATGTAAAAGTTACAAATTTACTGGTTAACAAAACAAACAAACAAACCCCCAAACAAACAAACCAGCCACAGATGTGAGGTGAAATGCTTCTTTAACCTTCCTACAATTTCAACCTCTAATTCTTAGCAAGGTTAAAGGAGCAACCCTATCACTGGGATATACCTAGGATTCCTAAGTGTAGTAGTGACTACTTGAGTCTGGAAGTACCATTTGTAAAACAGTGCATCCAAAGGCTGTCTGACCACACCTAAAATTATCTACTTTATAAGGTTCTATCCAATACATATGACTTCCAAAAATGGCGCACATGTCTTCCAAAAATGATGTAACCCTGAATGCTGTTGTAGATGCCATTGATGGAGTTGAATGTGCCCACACCTGCTGAAGTCTCAGGACATGTGTGCAATCATAACACAAGTAAATGCAACCTTTCAAACACTTGGAAATCATTGACTTGGGATACTTTATAGCCTAAACTCCTATCAAACTTGAATATGTTGGGATTTACTGATAATGATGGCACCAATCTTTAGCTTTGAATGAATGTGTATCAAATATGTTTGAGTGGTTTAAACTGTGAGTCTTTTAATACTGTTTATATTTAATTCTGTTTTAATATTTGTATATTTTAAATGCTGTGCTAACGTTTTTTATGTTAAGCCACTTTTAGTCCCCTTCAGGGGAGATAAAGCATGGTATAAATAAATATAATAATAATTGCTGAGGAAATGGCCACTAGAAACGACACCTTAGAGCAGGGGTCCTCAAACTAAGCCCCGGGGGCCAGATGCGGCCCTCCAAGGTCATTTACCCGGCCCTCGCTCAGGGTCAACCTAAGTCTGAAACGACTTGAAAGCACACAACAACAACAACAACAACAACAACAACAATCCTATCTCACCAGCCAAAAGCAGGCCCGCACTTCCCATTGAAATACTAATAAGCTTATATTTATTAAAATTGTTATTCATTTTAATTATTGTATTGTTTTAAAGTCTTTTTGCACTACAAATAAAATATGTGCAGTGTGCATAGGAATTCATTCATGTTTTTTTCAAATTATAATCCGGCCCTCCAACAGTTTGAGGGACTGTGACCTGGCCCTCTGTTTAAAAAGTTTGAGGACCCCTGCTTTAAACTGACTTTTCTGAATGGCTGGAAACCCTTGTTTCTCCAGAACACTCTAATTCAAGATGATGCACTAACTTCCAGGAAAATTTCTTTCTTCCTCAGAGAAGAAAAAAAAATGGTAATCCCCTTGCCTCCCCCTTTCCCTTTATTTTTAAAATTTTCATAGAAATGGTACCATGCATTACCATGCATTAAGGAGTGAACGGTTCACTGTGGAACTTGAAATACTTTCAGCATTTTATAATCCTTAAAACCAAGCAGAAGAGAATCCCTGCCAACAAATTACAGATTAGTAATTATTTAATTAAAATTATTTCAATTTTGTGTACCAAAATCAAAATCAAAGGAGATGCTGAAGCCAGTGAAACCTAGGTTGGAATGTAACCACTTTTTGGTTTTCTCAGAAATCAGGGATTTGAGAATAGGGAAAGCTCTGCACTAGTCTCAATCATTTAGAAGTAGGACAGTGAAGAATTTTTCTTCCATCAACCAGATTTATTTCGTATGGGAAGTAACAAAGACTAGATTGTTGAAACCAATTTGACAGTCATTATATGACCATAAACTCATATATTATTACATCCATCAAACATACAGTATATGTTTTATAGTTTTATTACACTGTTAAACACTATGAGGTATTTTGTTGTTTTGTTGAATAGCATCTCCTTGAATTATATTTCACTCACTGCTGTACATGAAGATCTCCTGTGATGAATCCAAGGTTAACCTGTGTCTAATGTGTGAAAAGTAATCCCATGTTAGAGAAGTTTACCTAAAAAAACTCTGAGATGAAAAGTCAAGGGATCTGGTTCTTTCTTATCTTAGAGGCATTTTCCATGTTGCTCTTTTGAGGAAAAAGGAGTGGGAACAGGGAGTAGCAATTATCTTTAAATTGGCTCAGGTACAAACTGTTCTTTAATGCAAAATTACATTGTTTGCAAGTTACTCTCAAGAAGGACTTCTTCTTCTTCAATAGAAACTTTACAGCAACAATTAGAGTATTACTCCCAAATATCAAAGAAGATATATATCTTAAAAGTGAAATAAAACAAGTTGTCTTCATTCATGTCCGCCAAGGAATTCACTTTCCTATGAAAAAAATGGAACTGAACTAATTCAAAGTTATTACATCTAATAGTTCTTCCCAAACTGCAATAGCAGCACTTAAGTGTGCAGACCTGTTTTTCAGCATGTGTCCTGGCTGACTCTTCTTGAGCGAGTACCATTTCTCGCTCTGCAGTAATTTGCACACTCTCCCTCAGTGCTTCTTCTAGTTCCTCAATCCGATCATCTTTTTTTCGCAGATTGTCCTGGAAAATGATAGGATATCAGATGAAATAGCTTGGATTTAAAGAGCAGAAGAAATTCCGCTTGTGCTGTACCAATGAAGTTACTTTCAAGGGATTGAAGCCCAAAAAGATAGATCTTCACACAGTGGAAAGAAGAGTGAAGGAAGAGCTGCACAGGTGAATAGCACAGATAATGCGAAAGTTAGCAAATGAAGAGATCAGCGGTGGTAGCAGTGCTCTTGGTGTTAGATCAGGTGATACAGTTGACAATGTGCTGCTGTGCAAAAAGACACAAATTCACATGCGTCTCCAGAGAAAGTTAGTAGGCAGATGGTGCAGCATAAAAGCAAGCATTCAGATTTGAGGCACTCAAGAGCTGACAGGCATAATATAGGAAACTGGAAGGGATGTATATTGCTGTTAGTAGTTGGATCAAGACAAATGTTCTGCTTTTCGAAACAGAGAGTATATTATGATATTTCAATCATCAAGTCCTGTCATATGACATTACCACAGTAAAAATGGCTGAAAAAATGAAGGCCAGGAGATAAAGAGAGAAGCAGTAAAATAAATTGTATCTGAAACATTCTGCTCTTTAGGAAAAGGAAAAGACTCTTTTCACAATTAATCTCTATATATTTAAGCCATGTTATCAGAAGCCTGAAATTAGCAATCGATGCTTTTTGAAACTTTGAAAAATGTTTATTAATGCATTCACACAAATGCGAACATGCTTTTCTTCTAAAATTGATGAAATCGTTTCTTTTCTGAACTTACAATGATAGACGATCACCTACATACTGCTCTAGACTGAACTTGAACTAACAAGAGAATTCTGTACACATAATTAAACCTTCCAATTTGCACTACTTCATAACCATTCTGAATAAATTCAGAAAAGGTTGCTAGCCTTTTCTAAAGTTTAACATTCCACATTAGTAAGTAATATAAACTAAGAAACAAAAATGAGAATTAATGAATCCCGATTATTTTTGATTAGTCATTTCAACTCTGAGGAAATGTGTCGTCGTTGAAAAATCCAGAAAGCAGCTTGTTTTGCACACTTCATTCTGTAAATTATTTAAAATGTTATCATGACAGCTGCAAGACACAGATAATTGTGAAGATAACTCATCCACGTGAACTACTCCTATGTCTGCCAAATGTAGAAACTCCAAAAACCTCAAAGACAGGTACTTCACTCGCAACAGAGAAGTGCGACTTTTTGTGTAGTGATGGCAAAAGCTCAAAATCTTGATGTGAGGAATGAGAAAAAGGGAACTAAGGGAAAATGTTCAGCATATGCTGAAGTGAGTATTACAAGGTGATGATCGCTGATCTTCGCAAACTGCTTATACTGACATCAAGAATGACTGCATTTTCTTTCAGCATCTTCTGAATGTGTTTAAATTAGAATTATCCTTAGTCCATTCCAAATAGACCAAGAAAATTACAGTGTGCAGAGTGTATTGCATAAAATACATATTAAGTTTTCTATTTTATGTCTCATCCAGGCTGTTACATTCAGAATCTCTGGTGGTATTTCTAGTTCTGTTCCACAGTAGAATTATTTGTCCAGTTAAAGTAATTTTGGAAACTGAACATGTGAAGTATAAAGATGTTTAATCATATAATAGTTTCCACATGCATTTTCCATGCCTGATAGAAAGCAAATATTAGTAATTCAAGTAAACAATGTAAACTTCACTCAGAAATATTCAGAATAAAGAAGAATTTGCTGATAAATCCAGATCTAACTTTGTTTTTTATCTGCTGTTAGTTAACCTGGATTCAAAGAATAAGATGTCACACCTCAAGACTGTTTCACATGAGCCACCCTTACTCCAAAGACAGCTTCACTAAGTTAATTTGCTATGTTGGAAATAACATTCTTAATTTTGTAGGACTGAGAGATTGTTTAGCTTTTTGCATCCTATTATTGTGATTCACGTGAAAGGATAGAGGTCAGATCCATTTGAAAAGAAAGACACTGAACTATCTCAGGCAATATGCTTATAGTACAATCCTATACATATCTACTCAGATGTAAATTCTGGTGAGTTCAATGGAACTTGCTCCCAAGTAAGGGCATACAGAGTAGTTTGCATACTGATTATACTGCATTAGAACATATCACTAATGACAACCAGAACTTCAAAAGTCCTCTTCAGGAGATCTTCTTCCACTTTGGCTTGAAAGATAAATGGCGTCTAGGGGTTAGACTAGAAACAAATGTAAGGAGCTTCTTTTATAGAGGTGACTTTTTGGACTCTAATGCTCATCCTGTATTTATGGTAAACATGATGAGATACTAAAGCAAGACTTGGAGACAAAGCTGCCATGGCACTGCTTACTTACCAAACACAAGCCCTGGGATAAAAAGTGCACTGGAAGAATTCAGCTCTTATGTTCATTTTACATAGGCAATATTTCAACTATCTTTTCAAAAACTGATTAAAGATATATTAACATGGACAACGCAGTGGGCTCTTGGTGTTCACTATGGTTTCTTTCCAGCACCTAGCCCTATGGATATCAAAATCTGTGGATGCTCAAATCCCATCATATGCAATGGCAAGCAACTCAAAGAAGTATTGGAAAGGGTCTGAAGATTTGTAAAATGACTGGAGGCTACAGCATGGTATGCCTACACATCAGCAAGTTCTTGGGAAAGGAAAAAATCAAGCATTTGCTTTTTAGATACCCCTCCTCAATATTTTCAAACCATGATTAGTTGAATCCATGGATGAAGAACCAGTGGACCAGAAATTAATTTAAATAATTGGTTTAACTGTATATATGATAGTTTTTGTTATTGCTTCATTCTCAATCACCTTCTTATGCTTATGATAAGTTTCCAGCATCAGAAATTCTCTGTATAAACAAACATTCTGTTATTGAAAAGACAAACTGCATTGCGTATTACAGACATTGGAGTGACGGCTTATTTATAAGTTTGTTCTTTTGATTGAAGATGGCCAGTTTCAGAAAATAGCAATCCCACTTAATAACAGGGATTATTACGCAAGTGACTATTAATTCCAAACAAAAGGATAAAACCCAAGTTATCTGAAATTGATGCTTCTGTATACTGATCTCAAGCCTAGCAATGAAACTTACAAAGTATCTCCCTATGTTTGACTTTTTTGTTTAATTTAATTCCTGGAGAGTAAATAATTGCCCTCATCCTGTCTGGAGAAAAGTGGTGGCATAATTTTGAAGAACACATCAAAATGTAATAATTATCCTGTGGATTTTTTAACATGTTTGAATGAGATGCTATCACACAGGAAAAATTCATTCCGAAAGCTACAAGGATAAGCAGAAGCGTTACTTGTGTGAAACACTTAATTTTTATTTTAATGAAAGCGAATAAAAAATAAATAACACAGCTGGGGAAGAGAGTGGGGCAGGAGTGATGGAAGGAGAAACAGCAGCAGGCAGGGAAAGGTATTTACACACATCTTCCTCCTTCTGTGCGTCTCACCACTGCCCCATCCTGCCTCAGCTGCTCGCCACATTGCCTCCCATTTTGCCCTCTCTTCCCTCCCATTGCTGTGTTCTGTGCTTCCTTCTGGGAAAAGGGAAGAGGAATCACCAGCAAATATGTTTTCCAGTCCAATCAGCCATCCTATCAGATACAGAGTTGATGGGCAGCGGCAGCACCTCACTCCCACTATTGGCCACAACTGATGGAAAGCAAAGGTACTCAGCTGTTCAGCCCCCTCCCTATAGAATGACAGGCCCAGATAGCCTCTGCCTTGGTTTCTGTCATGTAACCACTCTGCTGCTGGGAGAAGGTGGTCTCAGCAGCTTCCATGGATCCCTTATGGGCACACCTAACCTCCCCAAGAGGCAGTGAAATAAGTTGGTGAAACGCAGTATCTTTCATTAAATAGATAATGCGTCTTCAACCCAGTAAGTCTATTTCATACTGTGGAATATTTTGTGAAGAGTCATTGAATGCAACGTGGCACTCTGTCAGTGGTTTTGTGGATGGAAGGAAATACGTAGTGAATAGGTGTGAAACTAAAGAGTGGAAAATGATCTGTGCCAAAACAACTAGAAAGATATTTCTGTAACTCCAAGAATACTTACAGATGCATATGTGCTTCTCAGCTTTTCTTCACTGTAGAAAATTTAAATTCAAATATCTCAAAGCAATTAAGATGGAATATTTTTATATATGCCATAAGACTGCACAATAATCTTAAATTTGAGGTCCAGATGATAATACTGTTCCAGTAATTTACAGCTGAAATGAGCCCTTCTTTGCTCACTTACCATAAAACCGATCAAACTGCTGAAGCTGAATGGGTCACACCTATCCAGAACTTAAGGGCACTGTGGGGATAAAGCTTTGCTGTTATGCACAAAGCAATGCCTTTATTATGAGTAAGTCTGAAAGCAAATGAGGTAGTTTGCATAATGACTTTGTAGCAGAGATGAGATCCCTTGTTACCTGCAGTTGCTGGGAGCTGTCATTAAGATTGTCCTCCCGTCGCCTTGCTTCTTCCAGCATCTGTGCACTTTTCTTCTTCTCCACTTGTTCTTTATGTTTCAGGTTTGCTACCTTTTTATTCTGATCTTTAATTTGCCTGTAAAGAGGGAAAGTAATTATTCGAGCAAATACCAACTAAATTTGACAACATCAGTTAACTGAAGCATTTTCATACTCAGAGCAGATATCGTCACTTGTCAAGCTTTAATTAATATTCTCAGGTGATAACTGATTTCCTGGTGGATTCCTCTATCAAGATTATGGAAACAAGAATGATTGACAACTTGGAAATAGAGGGAGAAAACGTGGAGGCAGTGACAGACTTTGTATTTCTAGGTGCAAAGATTACTGCAGACGCAGACTGCAGCCAAGAAATCAGGAGACGCTTACTTCTTGGGAGGAGAGCAATGTCCAATCTCGATAAAATAGTAAAGAGTAGAGACATCACACTGGCAACGAAGATCCACATAGTTAAAGCAATGGTATTCCCCATAGTCACCTACGGATGTGAGAGCTGGACCATAAGGAAGGCTGAGCGAAGGAAGATAGATGCTTTTGAACTGTGGTGCTGGAGGAAAGTTCTGAGAGTGCCTTGGACCACAAGAAGATCCAACCAGTCCAAACTTCAGAAAATAAAGCCCAACTGCTCATTGGAGGGAAGGATATTAGAGGCCAAGATGAAGTACTTTGGCCACATCATGAGGAGATAGGAAAGCTTAGAGAAGACAGTTATGCTGGGGAAAATGGAAGGAAAAAGGAAGAGGGGCCGACCAAGGGCAAGATGGATGGATGGCATCCTTGAAGTGACTGGCTTGACCCTGAAGGAGCTGGGGAGGTGATAGCCGACAGGGAGCTCTGGCCCAGCCCAGGTCCATGAGGTCACGAAGAGTCGGAAATGACTGAACGAATGAACAATAACAATTTCTCTATCAGAAGTTCTAAAAATTTACTGTAATTTCTTCTTCTTTATTTCTAGCCGTCATCGACTTTAGTAATTTATACCACCTTGTTTTGTTACAAAAAATCTACATGTATTATTGCTTCTGTAACTGAAAACATTTTTGTTTGCTTTGTACTTTTTCCATTCTAATAGCAGCTTCTAATGCATATTATAAAACCATGCCCTATCAATATAGCTTACACTTTTATTTATTGTGTCAGAAGCGAAATGAGGGTGTAGTTATAATGTATTTTAAAGAGAACACAAACAAAGTTTAAGAAAACTTGGCATTATACTAGATTTCCTTTGACCAGAAGCTGGCCACCTGGAGTGACTCTGGTGTCACTGTGAGAAGTTTCTCCATTGTGCATGTGGCAGGACCCAGACTGTATTGTAGTAAGTGGTCCTTGGTTTGCTCTTCTCCACATTTGCATGTCGAGAACTCTACTTTGTAGTCCCATTTCTTAAAGTTAGCTCTGCATCACATGGTGCCAGAGTGCAGCCTGTTCAGTACCTTCCAAGTTGCCCAGCCTTCTGTGTGCCCGGGGGGGAGTTTCTCATCCAATTGGGGTTCTGGGTTTTAACCTGCCAGTTTTGGACTCTCACTTGCTGAGGTGTTTCTGCAAGTATCTCTATAGATCTTAGAAAGTTGTTTCTTGATTTAAGACGCTGGTGTGCTGGCTGATATCCAAACAGAGAATGGGCCGGAGATGTCACTGCCTTGGTCCTTTCATTATGGGCTGCCACTTCCTGGCAGATGTCAGGTTGTGCAATACCGGCTAAACAATATGATTTCTCCAGTGGTTTAGGGCGTAATAATGTGGCATGTCTCATTAAGAGACACATCCACTGTTTTAAAGTGGTAGATGTATTCCACACTGGGCATGCAGCAGAATAGCAAAGCGCACTGTCTCTGGTTGTGATCCCCAGGTTGTGCCAGCCAGCTTTCGTATGATATAATTTTTAGCACCCACTTTTTGCTTGATAATCCAGCAGTGCTTCTTGAAAGTCAGAGCACGGTCCACAGTAACTCCCAGGTATTTTGGTGTGCTGCAATACTCCAGTGGGATTCATTCTCAGGTAATCCTCAGAGCTTGAAATGCTTTTGTGTTTTTAGGATGAAAAGCACACGTCTGCATTTTAGATGGATTAGGAATCAGCTGGTTTTCCATGTAACAGGCAGTAAGAGCACCTAAAGCTTCAGTAATTTTTAAATGATTGACCCAAATTGATATGAGAGATTATTACCCGAATCTAGACACCGGGAATTGCTTGGATATTTTCAGCTAATTAAAAAAAGACAAAAAATCCTCAAATTGGTAAACTGAACATGGCAAAACAAGCAGTTACAGCAATTTTAATCTTTTTTTGAAACCTGAAAACTGGACTGTAGGGATGCAAAAGCATTATCAGAAAATGGAACTGAAAAATATTTTAGCTTCTAGGGAGGCTGCTGGCAGTCAATGGAGACAATGCTGAGCTAGACGGAAGAGGTGTTTGACTTGGTATAAGGCATCTTTTTGTGTAGGGGAAGGTCAAAGAGTCCAGCTGTTTTGTAATATAATATATTATGCAAAATATGCATTAAGGGTAGCACCAGCCAAAAGGGTCCTAGCTAATAGTTAAAGTACAGTATCTTCCAGATGTTCTACAAGCCAAGGTTCTTTCTTTCAGAACATGTTTCTGAAACACAATAGTAACACAGAGTGCATCGAATAAATTTTGGTGACCATGTTAGTATCCTGTTGCAAGTATAGTGTTCAAGATATGTAACACTACTACAGTCATGTGTGGATCCATCACTATAGAGGGGCCTTCTGAATACCCCCTTTTGAAATACCCACACAGAGAAAACAACAAGCAAGCCAGAACAAGTAAGTCTCTGATACAATGAAGTTTAAGAACTGATGGTTTAAGATAAGTGAGACTTTAAAAGCTATCAGCCAAAGAATGACGATTAAACTGTTCAACATTAGCCATGTAGATACCCTTTGATTATATGTTCTTTTGACCTTGTTTGCTTCAGCAGATGACCCAGAGAAGATTAGGGTCCTGTCTGCATCCCATCTGTTCTGTTTACAGTTAATTGAAGAAGTTTGACATTAAAGACGCAGAAGACTGTTCTCTCTGCGATTATGCCATCTATGGAACAAAACTGGAAGTGGAAGTTTTATATCACTCCCTCTAGTTCAAATTCAGACAAGAGACTCCTGTGAGAATCAGTTTATTCCATGTATCTATTACAGTATATATTATCAAGATGGCAATAAGGGATTCACAGTAATAAATGTTTAAACATGTTACTGTTCAATATGACAGACTAGTTTTGTAGAACAGTCAGGAAACATTAATTTTACAAGATACATAATCCTTCACTAGGTTCTCCTCATCTCTCTGCTGTCAACCATCGTATTGTGTTTTACCAATGAACTGCTTTATAAAAATATTAGTACTTTTCTGTTAACCCACAGAATGTTTTAATTTATATTATGTACCAGATCAGATTTCTAATACATCCAAGCACTCTATTAGCTACTATTTACTAGCTATAAATTCAATGACCATAAAAATTGCTCATTGTATATTCCAGATGAGATCTATGTGATATAATCAGAATTTTGGATGATTCAGGATGGCTTGAAAGATAATAAAAATGGGTGACAGAATACTCTAAAAATTATAAACACACACACACACACAATCACTTTTACTGCATTGTATAGTCACCCTTGCTTGGAAACTTAGAACATATAATATAGCTAAACATCTTTCTTCCTAGATATATTAAGTGAAATCACTATACCAATTATATCTGTGTTTATCAGAGCATATATGGGTGATTAAAAGATATATAATTGCCTCCCAAATCTTTTTTTCACACAATGAAAGATAGATTTGCAGACACTGTCACCTTTGAAATGCATTTTGTAGTCTCTGCCTTCAGATATTTATATAGCTTTCCCCTAATTATATCCCGAAAGAAAGGCTGCACTCTCTAAGGCAGTGTTTCTCAACCTTCCTAATGCCATGACCCCTTAATTCAGTTCCTCATGTTGTGGTGATATCCAACCATAAAATTATTTTAGTTGCTACTTCATAACTAATTTTGCTACTGTTGTGAATTGTAATGTAAATATGTGATATGCAGGATGTATTTTCATTCACTGGACCAAATTTGGCACAATTATTATTATTTACAGCATTTATATATGGCTTTTCTCACCCCAAGGGGGACAAATCTGAATACTGGTGGGGTTGGGGGGATTGATTTCGTCACTTGGGAGTTGTAGTTGCTGAGAGTTACAGTTCACCTACAATCAAAGAGCATTCTGAATATCAACGATGGAATTGAACCAAACTTGGCAAAAGAACTCCCCTGACCAACAGAAAATGCTGGAAGAGTTTGATGGGCACTGATCTTGAGTTTTGGAGTTGTAGTTCACCTACATCCAGAGAGCATTGTGGACTCAAACAGTGATGGATCTGGACCAAACTTGGCACGAATACTCATTATGCCCAAAAGGAAACACTGGTGGAGTTTGGGGGCGGGGGACAGATCTGACATCTGGGAGTTGTAGTTGCTGGGATTTATAGTTCCCCTACAATCAAAGAGCATTCTGAACCCCATCAACGATGGAATTGGGCCAAACTTCCCACACAGAACCCTGTGTTTTCTGTTGGTCTTTAGTGACCCCTCTCACACCCCCTTGCGACCCCCACAGGGGACCCAACCCCCAGGTTGAGAAATGCTGCTCTAAGGTATATACCCAATACTTTTAATTACTGCCATGGCTTTATTGACCATATATTTTGAAAAAGTAAAATTTACTTACAAATATTATTCAAAGAACAGACTAATTTTCTCATTTTCTCTAAAACCTAATCCAGGAGGGCTGATACTGACAACAGTTAATTTAGTATTGTAAAAATGAATACTAGCAAGTTCAAATAGCCAATTTGGAGTCCCATTTGTGAGCTTTCGCCACAAGTCCTCATCATTTTCTTACACAGCTTTTCACTCTTCCATGGCATTTATAAGACAAGGTAACTAATGCCAATGAAAACAGTTCTTATTCCTATAAAAGTCATGAAAATATAACTAGGCTGTTGTATGTGTGCCAGCAAGAAGCCCCAAATGGGTTTTCAAGGAGGGGTGG